AGCAATATGAAGACCTCCAGCTTCTTTGTGATAAATTGATATTCTCTCAGATTTTGAGAATAAAATCTGAAGTAATATTACGATTTTGAAAGAGTTTTGACTTCTTCCATCCTTCCAAATGGTATTTTCTTCTCAGTTTTCTCTTCACATCAGGCTGAAATTTGATCCAAGCCTCGCCTGGCTTGAGTTTCAGATTTTGGAGAGGAGATCCTCTTCCCTAGCAATTTCATTCGTCTCTACATCAAACATACATTAAACATGGTTGAAAATCCTTGTAGCTATGTCACTGATTGTTGCTGCTAAGTTGCTATGAACACATAATTTTGATAATATATCACACCACATTTTACACATGCTTGGCTAAATAAAATTACTTTTCTATACTCACAAGAGTTGACAGCATCAACTTTAATTTTACTTAGTGATAAATGCGCATGAACTTTATTTATCTATAAATGTTCTGCAATATGTCGCTGTTGAGTAGTCTTGAATTGTATGATTATGGTATATTTGTTGGACACACTTTGGAAAGTCCACATTGCTTATAATGTCAAAATTAATAGAACGGAGAGGATAATTTGAATAATTATTGACACTAAGAGTTCCTTTCCAATCAAATAGAAATCAATTACGCTTCTAATGAACTAAGAAACCTTGCAATGTCTTTGAACCACATGATTTTGAAAGGGGATTATTGTTGAGGGATAATTTATAGCGTTGATAGCTTTTGAAATTGAATAAAGAGCAACTGGCGAGTGTTTGTATTTGCAATTGATGTCTGATCACTATTATATTGATTTAAAGAACAGTCCTGAGAACCGACGATGAGTATTAGCTCCCCTTAGGGAAATTTTATAAAACATGTTAACTTGATTCTGGATCATAATAGCTTAATTTTCAAATTACATAATAATCCTGACAAATTTGTTGGAACTTAAAAGCAAGTAAATGAATTTTTTTGAAAAATATTAATTGGTTGAGGATTATGAGTCATAGTTATAATAATTACTTTGTATCTAAGCAAGCGCAGTAGATCGGAAGGGATAGCTTCACTTCGTTAGGCCAATAAAGTCACATAAATATATGGATTTCCAATACCAAATTCAATGATTATTAGATATGATGGTTGTAGCTGCTTTTTAAAGTTGATTTTGAGGAGTGATTATGATCAAGTGGCAATGAGAGATGAATGAATGAAGGTACTTTTCAGATGAAGGAATAATTTTTATGAATGATTAGTACATGCTATTTTAAATAACTAATAATCAAGTGCTATCATAAAGAATCGATGAACCTTCGATTTTAACCTTTATTAGGAAAATTTTATAATGTGCAAAAATTACAATAAAAATTTCAGAGGTATTTTTACGAATTCCTAGGAAGGTCTTTAAAAAATTACATTATAAAAAATTGTATTTTTGATTTGATAGAGGTGTATTTTTTTATTTTAGCCTGTCAATATTTAGTGGCTTAGCTTAAAGAATTGTTTATGATCTCGAGTATGTTAAAATCAAATCATGGATTGTGTTGACAATTTTTATCATTCATAAATTTCAAAATTTCCATGATTAGGCTGCCTTCAATCACAATTCATTTAGGGGTTTAATACTATCATGACAACTATTATAATTGCATTAGAGAATCTAAATGAACCAAATTGTCTAGAGCATGCTTCAAGTGAAATTAATAGAGGCCTTACATAGATTATTTCTGATTTAAATAAGTTTTTATATATGCATATCGTTTAAGAATTGGAGTTTGGATGAGTTTGAGATGAATATCCATTGCTTATTTAGTGAGAAGTAAATGAAACAAAAGAAAAAATATTCCCAATTATGTATAAAAAGTTCTATGATTTTGTACAGCACTTTGAGTTTGGCTGGAAGCACTGTCTGAGATTTTTCCAATTTTGATAATCAAACAGTAACATCTAATTATCATACTGTAATTAAAACACTGGGCCATACTAAATTACTGAGTTCTCACAAGAATGCACATAAATTAGTTCTATAGCATTATGGCTGGAATTGAAAATTAGATGTCTGAGCCTGTAGGTGGTGTATCTTTACAAAAGTTGTTATTAGGGAT